GAAATCCTGGAAGTTTCTGAAAACAATTGACATTTCGTTCGCAAGTAGAGAAATAGACAGTCGCATTTCTAAAGTGCACATAAAATTACAGGTTATGCGTGAGTGAAATTCGAAATATTAGTTTAGGATTTCGTGGAGATTAGTAATAATGGCGAGGAGACGCGTCCAGTTAACAACGTTGGGTAAACAATTTGGAAAATGGGATCTGGACAGAATTGGTATATTTTTTCGAATTATTACAATTTCTTATCATCTTATATATTTTCAACTATTTCAATTGCTTTCCTTCAATAACTTTTTAGTAATCACAATATCGTATTTTCTAGGCTATTTTCAAGATGAAAATCCGGCGCCCTTCGGCGAGTATACAGGAAAACCGGTTCTGTTTCGCGAAGGTATCAATGAAGGCCGCCAAATGTTCCCGGGGCCACGGACCGATTTATTTGAAGAGAAATTCGTGCGGATTTTCCATGGTGAGGCACTGAACGAGCCGTGGCGCATCGAAGCTCAAGAACGGGTAATCATATGATATAATTAAGTATTAATTTATATTTCATTTCAATAATGTTATCAATAGTTCTCACAGACAATTCTTGCGTTTAAAAGCCAATTCATATAAATTACGGTCATATCGTTTGAAGTTAATATTGAAATTACGCATGGTTAATTTAATATCATTTTTCCAATAAAACTTAATTAGAATTGGTTTTGCAGTTTTAGTTTGAATCGTAAAGAAGCCAACCTGATACATCAACCGTTTCGTAGTTGCAACGGGACAAGGATAAGATTGGCGGTCATTTATTACCACCCGCGCCCGCCAAAAAGCACTCGACGCCGGGTGATTGGCACGGATGTTTTGAGAAAGTCACTTACTTCAGCCCTGCGGTTAAGAAGAGAGTGAAGGGAGTCCCTGAACTTCCGAACGTGAGGATTAAACCTAATCCTCGTGGAGGGCCAGGATACCCCGACATTTGTCTCAACCCTTTCCCGTCCTATTCCCACGAGCCTTATGATATACCAAGAAAACGAGGTAAGAAAATCAATCGATCTGCAATCTTCATACTCTTATTCTCAATATATTTGAATTTCAATAACTAGTTATGTGACTTTCCTAACATTTGTTAATGTTAATAATTGTTAATATATATATAATAATAAATAATATTTAATGGTTAATAAATGTTAATAATTGTTAATATAAATATTAATAAATAATATTT